GAAGGAAATCCTATCCACGTCGATTTTCCTTCGGTACAATCGAACGACACGACTCAGACACTAATAATACCTCATCCGACAACCAACACACACGAAGATACTTCGACAGTATCCGAAAATAAACTTAAAACGACGCGTTCTGGAAGAAGGGTGAGATTTCCAGAACATTTAAACGACTATTGCACGTAAGGCACTTCTCGACATTTTATATTATTTTTTTTTAAAAAAAACAATTTTAATATGCTTATATATTTTTATTTCTATTAAAAAAAACAAAACAAAAAAAACAATTTTTTAACGCTATTACGTGCTCATGAGTTTATTTTCCATTTTTTTTCCGCCGACCTTGTGTTTTTACGCATATACGAGTGTATTTTCGACATGCACTTACATTTTCTTTTTTCTTTTCCAGGACGGCTGGAAAAGAACGATGACGTTTATGAGGATCCGAAATTTTCATTGTACATTTTCTTTTTTTACTATGTTGTACCTCCGTCCCATATAGTAAGGAAAGACGACCAGACGCTGCTAAATTTAGTGAGCTTGTAGAACTATAGTCTACTATGATATTAGTGCTGCTCTAATAATAGACCTAATCCTAAATTTGTAGATTTGTCATGATATAACTGCCTAATCTATAAGATCTTACGTGGAAGTCACACCATCGACTACACCAACTCACTGTATCGTATCAATTACCAATACATGATGTAGAACAAGATTAGGCTAGAGAAAGAACAATATATTTAATATGAATAGAAGATATAAGGTAACATTCAGCAGAGACCACGCCTGCATGGCCGAGCCATGCCACTCGACTAACTCCAGTACATTCAATTCATTGTTCGCGCCTTCTCCATTGTTAGGTATTTCTCCGTGTTAAATATTGAATATCTATTTTCTGAGTAGTCTCGTGTTCACAGCTTTGTGGATTGTGTGGCTATTGTCCAATGCCACTACGCTACTCTCCCACCAGAATCAACGTGATGTTGGTTCGATACCAAATTGGATGGGATCGTCGCGCGCCGGAGGTTACCAAGGGTAATAAGAATCCTCCGGGTATTGGTAAGCTGAAAGATAAGTCAAAAAGAAAGCGGCAGCATCTGGTCGGGAAATACATGTAATAATTTTAAAATATCTGCCTTCATGCTTAACATGCTTGAAATGAAAATTTGGGTGAAGATTATTTGAGCTATAAAAAATCGGGTTACAATAATAATAGTAATAAAACGATGCGTGTTAATAGCCGTTGGTTAATAACTTAACGTATAGGTAGTAAGTATTTTGTGTTTAGAAGTACTAAAGTAATGAATGTTGTAGAAATATTAATATCGGTATTAGTTTTGGTTAAAATTATGAAATCAATCTACAATTATGCCGGTATATTGTCCATATGAGTTGATTTCCAATTGCATTTGTATTAGTAGGCTAACTGAATGAACAAAAATATTACCGTGGAGAATTCCAACTAGTGTTCCAGTTAGTTTGATACGGTTTATTTAGTTACGGGGAGATTTTCTCAACCTCATTTTTACTTGACCGTGATAGAATTTAGTAATACTACTAATACACATGAATGTATATCAAAACAAAATTTAAATACGTGAGTGATAATTATATGAATTTTGGACAGACAGCTAGGAACAAATCGTTAAACATGAGTGTATTCGTAAGAGACATACTCTAGACTCAATGTTCTGATCTGTGGCAGACTATTTATTTATATTTATACTTGCTGGCTGATTGGGCATACAAGTTAGTTGCAAGTATGCAGTTTATCATAAGGCGGAATACGATTTAATTGATATAGTGGTTATAAGTTATTAAAATCAGTTAGGCCTGTGTCATATTACGAGGTGATGTGGTGCTGCAAGATGTATTTGGCTAAATAAGTTTTTACAAGATGATTAATAGTGAGTGATGCTCATGTGATTATCAGAGAGAACATAAGTTGTAACCAAGGGGAGTACACTCCCAACTCATGTCTATGATAATGGCTTTAACCTTAGTCAGTGTTGGGGTAAATTCGACATTGATGTTTTCAGTTTGCAGGAGATTTGCTCGACTGCTTATACTGATTATTTGCATGCATGATTGTGTCGCTAAACCATCAATTAGACTAACAAGGTTTTGAGATATTTACTGAATGAGCAACTGATAGAGAAACATACTGTAATCATCTGTAGTGAATGGAGATAAAAGAAAAACAACACTGGTGATAATTTTAAGTCGATTTGCTGACCGGTTATGTTAATAGTTTCATTAATTTTATCAATCATATTACGTGATTGTCAAGTCATGACAATGCTTTATGACGATATCCTGAAACTATTTCGTTTAACTAGTTATAGTGTTGATTAAGATTAGTCAGTGGAAAAATAGGTATTGTTGCTTTAGGTGATTCGAAATCATCAGAAATTTATAACGTTAAAGCATCCGAGACGCCTAATTTAATTATAAATTTCAATTCAGAAATATTCGTTTAGTGTTAATTCTAGTAGGCTACGGAGTTTTGATTTTAAACGTTTGTTTAGCCAACAGCTACTTATGATTTAGTTATTTGACTAGTGCAGTTGATAGTACCTAAATTTTTAATCTTATTATTTAAACTATGTTCGCATTTTAGGCTGCTAATATGATAAACTAATCCATAAACCCAAATACGATTAGCAACAACGACTATGATGGGTTTATTGATAAATGTTAAAGGCGATCCAGATGATTTCTAAATTTAGAAGACATGGAGATATAGTGTAACGTATGTATGGGCCAGGTTAACATGCAGGTTGTTGACGTATATGACGATTTAAGAATAATGAACATGACCAGAAAATAATTTTAAAGTTTAGACTGCTTGTGAAACTTCGGGCAGGAATATGAAGAATTATAAATTTTCCAAAAGTTAGTGCATTTAGCCTAGGGACAATTACAGATATGTGGCAGAAGTAACTGGAAAATATATACATGTTAAGTTAAAAAAATCATTAAGTAAAATAGTTGAACTCGCCTGGATTATTTTTGAAAATTAGATTATTCAGTGGACGACATATATAACGCCATTCGTGAGGAGTAGTAATGATCCAAAAGTATCCAGAATAAAACATGCAGTATGGCAATCAGTTCCAGGGTGCTTGATGCTGTTGACGTTTTTGCCACTCACTCGGATCAGAACAACCGAATGAATCCAGATAATTGTGCGGTCACCATTGAACGAGCCATCTAAAATGACCTTATGATTGCAGAAAACTTATGGCTGAAACTCACCGTATGTTTTTAGAGAAGTGTCATCCTTGTTGTTTGGCAATGGAACTCGAGAATTTGAAATTAGGCAGGCAGTGGTCGGAAGAAAAGATATTACAGGAGAGTGCATAGTTTAAAACAGGATGAGGTGATAAGATAAGGAACACTGAATATTAGATCCAGGTAACTATTTAGTCCTTGCTGCATTGTTAGTCAATGTATATTTGCGTTATTTACAGGTCATATTTGCTAGAGCTTGATGCTTAAACAAGTCTATGTCGCTGAAGCATGTAAATGCTATTAAAGCTTTTTAACGAACCATCAAAGCTAATTAGTTAATATAGACGACCAGTTTTTATTATGGATTGAGCTAGTGTGTCATGAGAACTAATCAATATAACATTACGATAATACATGTGAGCATTAATCAGGACTGTTAGAATATTGGGTTAACAAAAATAAAAACCGATTGAGAAGGTTAAGGTGGAAATAAGGATTAACAATAACAGGTTGCATTTCTTTAGTTGGGCTCACCAATGTAGAACTATGGTCTACTATGATATTAGTGCTGCTCTAATAATAAACCTAATCCTAAATTTGTAGATTTGTCATGATATAACTACCTAATCTATAAGATCTTACGTGGAAGTCACACCATCGACTACGCCAACTCACTGTATCGTATCAATTACCAATATATGATGTAGAACAAGGTTAGGCTAGAAAAGGAACAATATATTTAATATGAATAGAAGATATAGGGTAACATTCAGCAGAGACCACGCCTGCATGGCCGAGCCATGCCATCCGATCAAACCCAGTCCATTCAATTTATTGTTCGCGCCTTCTCCATTGTTAGGTATTTCTCCGCGTTAAATATTGAATATCTATTTTCTGAGTAGTCTCGTGTTCACAGCTTTGTGGATTGTGTGGCTTTTGTCCAATGCCACTACAAGCTATCAGAAGAGTGTTTACCAACGACAAACTCGTTGGGTTTAAACTTCTGGCTGGCCACGTCTTAGGGTCGTCACTGCCCCACTAGGGGGGGAGTGATCTGTAGCGGTAAATAAATCCACAAAATAAATAGCACTAAGTTTTCGACATTGGATGCTGACCATATGTTTTAGTGGACTCATCTAGCTGAAGGCGCTCGGTCAGGCATCCGCACCAGATCACGTGTGGTAACGCCGTGCTCAACATCAACCGCAATCGCTAGCCAGATTAGATCAGAGAATTCCGATATATTGGTCATCGCCAAATATACTCTTCCGATCTCCTCGACTCTGTCTTTTGATTTCTCTTGGTGGGAACGAAATATATTAGAAGTGTTACTGGTAGAAGCGTTGTCAAAAACTGAATACCTGTGACATCAACATCCTGAACGCTAGCGTCTGACTCTGACGAACTGCGTTTACGTCCATATGTACATACATATCTAACGAAAAGTACTTTAGAGTTGGATCATCACTGTTCTTTTTGCATACTGACATAACGTACTTAGTATGCGTATACTAAAAAATAACTATTAACCACAGAAGTCATATTACCTTATGCACTTCTTTCAAACAAGTCTCAAAGTTGTACTAACTTGTGAATCTTCAAGATAACATACTATCATTGAAGATTCGTCCTATATCATGCATCATCACGATGGCATCGTCTTCGTTACTTGATGAATGAACGTTATCAGACATGGTGTGGCTGAACTCAATTCAAATTTTAAAATGTATTGATTTGACCGCTTCTGAAAAATTTCACGAATTGTCGATGTGACGCACCAATCACCTTGCGACAGCCTGACCTTCAAGTGCCCGCAACCTCCGCCAGTGAACGATACCCTAGGAGCGTTGCCCCCCTGAAGCGTTCAGAGTCCGAGTTGGATGAGGACGTAATTATATTCTGTAACAAAACAGCAAGCCAATTTGATTTCCCGGTAAAAAAATGTTAGTATATTTTTAGTTTTAGAATGTTTTTAGTTTAACCAATCAGCTCTAATAAACTGCAAATGGACTAATCAGTGTTATATAACGTTATTCTTTAGGAAATATGCTTTAACCCAATCTGTACCCCACTAGAAACTTGAAATAACATGTCACCTGACTTGTCAGGGGTCGGTCTCCTTCAAGGATGCTTACCTATAGAATTAGAACACTCATATACTATAGTCCTACTTAGTGATGATTTTCACGAGATTGTCTTTTGATCGCATTAAGTAATAATGCTAGCATGTTTGGGATATGTTTCTTTCCATCCAAACGTATGATATTTCTTCGGTACTGGTCTGCTTCAACGCCTGGACTAGCAATAAGGAGTGAAGTAATTGGATGCGTCGACCACTTCACTTATTGTGGAAGCTTTATCTTTTTTTCTGGGTCATTATCTGACGAAATCTCGGCTCAACTTCAGAAAGCCCGGTTGCCCTATGCAGACCAAAGTTAATGTTTGCTTCTCAGCAGTCCACACTGTTATACTTTATTGTCGTGAGCAATATGTTATGTGAAGGTAAAAGACATGCATAGGCTAAATATCCTTGATCATAGGTGTCTTCGATGCACTGCTTGCGTTTCATGAAATGACCACGTAAGCGATGTTGATGTTAGACATAGGACACTTGGCAGGAGTAGCAAATCGTCTGATGAGGTTGTAAATATTAATTGACTAAGGTGTTTAGGATGTTACATGCGTTTAATTACCAACTACATCGATGAACGATGCCTGGTAGTGCACGAGTAGGTTGGAAAAAATCTAAGGATCCTTAGCTGTCGACAGCTAGACCAAAACTTGACATCACTTCATGAAGTGATTGACTTTTTGTGTGAAACATGTTGCTAGATACAGACTACCTGGATGTAGTTAGTACGATAACTCAGATCAGTTGTTGGAGAATTCAGGTGACACAATTCTAAATCATTCACAACGAGACAAATTCACTCTTCACCTTCCGCTAAATCTTAAATTCCAGTGTCCCGTCATACGTACCTCTCCACTCTTTCTTCTCAAAGGGTACTCTGAAGGTTTAGTCTTGTTTTATCGTTGCCACTATATAATTTCGATATATTTTGTCAGTTTCATATCGTCATGTTGATCAGGTATGAGGACTTCAACCAACGTCACATCTGCCAGGTTCTATGTTGATGTTTGTCTGTATTAATTAATTTGAAAATTATACAAACATTGGTATAGCTGAGAGCCTATTATTTATATAAGTAATGTTAATATACGATTGCGAATGGTTTAAACAGCGTTCATTCCCAGCACTCGTTACATGTAAATTTCCCTACAAACCCATGGGTTACTGAACGACCTGTTGCTCTTTTCTTTAAAAACCATACAAGTCGCTAAGTGGAGCTAATGGCATTTTCTCTTCCTTCATACAGATAATTCAAGTTTTGCTCACCAGCTCCTGTTATTTTCCATGTGTCAGAACGTGGTTGTACTTAAGTGTGTGTTACAGTAGAATCACGATACCATAACTCCTCTCAAATGTGTGATTGCGAAATATGGCTGCTACTGTATCATAACTTAATACCGAAACGAAAATATACCAATAATCAGACAAAATCATTTAACTGAAAAGAATGTCTGTGTCTTTACACAAACAAAAACGGACCATTCCACTATCTTATATCCGTGTCAGTCAGCTACAACGTAGGACTAGGCACATTTATGCATCAGTCCAAGTTGCCATACCTCAATAGCACAAGATGAAAAATTCATAAAAGTAGTTACTTCAATGGTAGTAATATATATAAGACAGCATAAAAGGATATGATACAGGGAGAAAGAATTAGTTTGTAGAAAAAAAGGCATAAAGTAATTTTAATCTCACGGTTTAAGAAAAGACAAATGGTGTATACACCTACGCCATTTTTAACCATGTCACCAAGCCTCCAACCACTGGTTACGATAGTCACGCGGGCCCCAATCAAGTAGTCTGCATCTACCAACATGGCTTAGACCAGAAGTTAGTGACTTCAAGGACTGACGCCAAGTTCTGGTTTGGCCGCCCCTAACTTTTTTTCCAACCATCCCCAGCACTAATCAACATTGCGCGTTGAGGTAACGGGTATCCAGGCATACGTAACACGTGGTCCAACCATCTCAGTCGATGAAGATTCACAACCTCATCGACTGATTCACCGTCATTCCCCTAATACCCTGCGTCTAACCTCAATATTACTCACCCAGTGATCCCAGCAGATGCGAGCAATATTTCTAGGACATCTGTGATCAAATACTAGTGACTTACGAGTATCCTCTACTCCTAATGGTCACGTTTATCAGCCGTAAAGTAAAACAGAACAGATTTCTGCGCAGTATATTCGTCCCTTAATTGATAAACGGATACCTCACCTTCGCCACAAGTGATGTAGGTTGGCAAAAGTCAAACGAGCTTGTTGAATCCATGTAGAGATTTCGTCAGACACCAACCCATTAGGACTGACCAAACTTCCAAGATAAGTGAAGTTGTCGACGCGTTCGACTACTTTACTCTCTATCGTTAGTTCAAGTGTTGACGCAGACCAGTCCTGAAGCAATAATTTGCATTTAGAAGGGCAGGAACTCATCCCAAACATACTGGCATTGTTACTCAGTGCTACCAAAATACTCTGCATTTTATCAGTGTCTTCACCAAACAAGACTATGTTATCTGCGTATTCTAAGTCAATAAGTAAACGTCCTGGTAGGAGACCAATGTTCAAAAATTCAGTCGACGAGAACGTTATTTCCAGCTGTGGGTCTATGATGAAGTTGAACGAAAATGGAGATAGTGGACAGTCTTGTCGGACACCACTTGAGGCTGCTGAATCAAATGGCAGTTTACCATAAGCTCTGACTCGATTGGTAGTGTTTGAGTAGAGAGGTTTCACAAGGTGTACATACTTCTGAGATGTGCCTTTCAGTGACAGGCACTGCCACAGGACCTTTTAGTCTATAGAGGCAAATGCTGCCTTTAATTCAAGAAGAGCTATCATTGTCGGACGCCAATAAGAACGCCTGTGTCCCAAGATCTGGCGAATGGTGAATATGTGGTCGATGCAGCCACGACCAGGTCTGAAGCAAGCCTGATTTCCCCGTGTTTGCAGTTCACAAGTCTTTGTTAGGCGTCCGATCATTATTGAGTATAGTATTTTAGATGCTTTATTAGTTGAATTATTGCCCCCAAATGCCCTGGAACGGCCGAGAGTGGGGAGAGTCAGCTCTGCCTCTCGAAATGCTCTTACATGGTCACGCGTATATAGCCTCTGCCAGGGAAGTCCTACTCACCGCCTCGTGGCGAGGGTGTTTACAAATATGAGAGGACGAAAAGCGAATGTCCGGCGCTTTAACCGGATTCCAAACCAATGGTGCACATGGGCTCCAGTATCCTGAGGAACAAGTGGCGTATGAACCAATTGTTGGTTACCGGCTTCCATGGGACTGCGTCTCCTTACGATGCTCCACTGCCTTGTGGATCAGACCTTCAGGTCGAAGGCTCGGGGTGTGGCACCCTAAGAAAACCACCTGCTTCAGTTAGGGCACCCGGGCAGTATCACAGCCCTCACACATATCGAATGAGATTTGTGTGGCGCATATGTATTTGGTGCCTCCTTTTACCAATATCTACGTGTTAAAATAAATAAATAAATAAAAGTTGAATTAATCCCTCTATGGGTATCACAGGATGATTATGACCCCTTATATATTGGGACAATCAGTGATTGCGACGAGTCACATGGGATTTCATCCAGCTATCAGGTTTTGGCTAAAATATTAGTCAACCTTATCGCTAAAACTGGACCAGTTTCCCTCTCACGTTTCAGATTAGCCGTAACTTTTTGAGCTTCAATTATAGTTGAGTGGGAGGCTATATCAATGTTCCATTCAGGCTGTTTGGAAATGGTGGGTAGCTGTAAATGTAAACAGCGCAGGAATTAGCGTAAATGAATATTGATAAGGACTGTTTCAACTCCAATTCATGCAGCTACAGTGGAAAATACTGTGGTAAGTAAGCAAGGAGAGATGATAAAATTGACTGTATTTTTAAACCATACACTTTGTTCTTTTACAATGTGACTCAAGTTGGTAATTACGTTTTTGGTTGTATTGTGTTCTCTGAGCCAAATAATTCAATTGAAAAGCTTTCATTCGGATTCTGGACAACGTCATCGCCCTTTGCCCTATGCAGATGTGAACTATTTACATATTCAACATCAGCTCTTTCTAATAAACTTATTTGTAAATATTTGTCTTTAGGCGGATTGTCAGCCTCGTTTGTTTTTGTATGTTTAACATTTTTTCTGAATACGTCTAGTACTTAGGTGTACCTGTAGGTAATCGTTTAACTTTCTTTGAATTCTTATCAACATTTATAACTGTGCTTTTGATGACGAAAGTTGTTCTATATTAACATGTGACGTGAAGGATCTGTTTGGTTCTTTTACTTGTGCAACTGAATCGTATTTACTGGAACAATGTGGACCATTAAATATATACACATATCGAATGACTTGTTAAAATTTATTTTCAAATTACTGTATTAAGAAGATGATTTATATCTCCATTAAAAGTAGGCTTTTTACCATGTGAAATATGATTTTGAATATACTTCCAATGGTGCTCCAGTTTCCTACTTTGTATATACATGGATCTGTGGTTACTCGGAATTAGTGCTACTGTTGGTACTGTTTTCATTTTAACGATGCGGTGGTTAACTCGAAGGAAAACGGTACTTTGCAATTGTTTGTCCCCTGTTGGCCAACATGCAGTCATCACTGGTGCTAGTTCCGGTATTGGTCGCGCAACTGCATTTGAATTGGCCAAAAGGGATTGGAGACTTACGTTAGGTTGCAGGTAAGTAACAGTTTATTTCAGTAATAGTTTACAATTTTCAGAAATATGAACGCTGCCATTAAGGTTAAAGAAGAAATTACATCTCTTACTGGTAATCATAACATTTCTGTTAGACTTTTGGACTTGGAGAATCCACAAACGATTAAGGAGTTTGTACAATTTTTACCTTTACCTGTCCATGTTTTGATCAATAACGCCGGTGCGTTTCCTAAGATTCTTCGTCCTGCTATATATTACCAAGATATCAATGTTACTTTGGCTACTAATTATGTTGGACATTTTTTCCTGACTTCACTGCTTTTACCTTACCTTCGAAAATCATATCATGAAACATCTATTTATCCTCGTGTGATTGTTGTAAGCTCCTCTTTATCCAAAAAGGGAACGTTCTCGACAGAAAATTTGTTTCAACCGTACAATACTACATCAGATTTAAATTCCAATAAAGCTTATTCTGATTCTAAACTGGCTTGCAATTTATTTTCACGCGAACTTCATCAGAGGTATGGTTCAGGTGATAATAAAATACTTGATGTTTATTGTTTATTTACCGGAGGGATGGTAAATACTAACTTATTTCGAAATACTTTGATAAAATATTCACCACTCACTCAGCGTTTCATCCGTGGTTTAATGCAACTACTCTTGAAATCTCCTTCAGAGGGTTGCCAAACGATTGTTCATTGTGCAGTTAGTGATCAACTTCTTATACATCATAATAATTATGCTCAATCTATTTTAACTGAGACATCTGGTAGCGGTATGCTGTATAACAATTGTACACCTATTGATTGGCCTGCTAATTCACTCGATCTTCATCTAGCTAGTCAACTTTGGGATTATACAACAGATTTCTTAAAACTATCAGTCAATAATAATGCATAAGTCATTCACTTTTATGTACAATTACGTATTTATCTGTATTATATACAATGAACTGTGTATTTTCATAAAATTCCATTTAGCTAATTATCACTTAGCATTTACGATGAACAGAAGCAAACTACAAAATGACAGCCGAACAATTATTATTATAAATGTAACAAGTTTTTAGAATTTTTTTCAAAAATATAGTACAACTTTTCCTAACAGACATTAAGTTCCTTTGCATTTGTTCATCGGTTTGTAGTGATTCGTTTTAATGGTGTGTGGTAAAATATATCTTATTGATAAATTTTCTTTACTTCAGGAATAGAAGGTACTACAAACTCAAGAAAACTGTTTCAAAAAACGAACCTTGAAAACTTCAAGTTACATACTCGTATCCATTAGGCTGTGATAATACGTGTCATGCCCTTAATGTCTTTATACATGTGAGATGCCTGCCAGTACAAAATCGATTAGTAATGCTCTAATTCAAGTATACTTTTCACTTATATGCTAACAAACTTATCCTTGACTATCGACATCCTGACTGACAACAATTTACCTTAATCAACGATTGAGACAGTTCCGAATAGCAGTTAGTCCGGGAAGCATGTAACCTTATGATCTAGTATCCAGTCATAAGTATTTGTGCATTTTATTCGGTAGCTCGTCCACTCTTCTGTTTTTGCTCAAGGAGTCAATTGGGTAGTTGGGGCGTAGTACGTCATGCATTAGTATCCGATTTCAGACACCGTCCGTCATAACAATTTCAGTTTACATATTACAGTTACCAATATTATCTCAGATTGTTTTTTTCGGCCTTCAGAAATACCTCTAAGAATATTTAGGCGTTGGATCATAGAAGGAACTTGTTAAAAATGTATTATGTTTATTAACAAAAAGTGATACAGTTTATAATTGAAATATGTATCGTGTGATATATCTAACTATCTAATAATTTTTTATTGTCACATATCTGAGCTAGAAGTAAACAAAAGTTGGTAATCAAGAAATTACTTCATATATCAATCATATAAACAACACATAAGCAAACATGTTGGTGTGTTTCGAACGATCATGAATCTGTATACATAAGTTATCAGACTGCAAATAAAAATAGTATTTAATGCACACAATCAAGTCGAAAGCGATAGGGAACGGAGCAAGCGAATAATAATTTATCAATGATAATATAGGGTTGGTGAAACATGTATCGATAGTTTGTACACTAGACCAAAAGCTTATAAATGGAAGTACCGTAAACCAATTACCTAATAAATATATTGCAAATAGGGGATAAAAGTTTCAGCTTTTGCAATTTCCACTCCATTTCATCAATATATAATTCTAGCCTATACAGAATTACCTGGTAAAATCTTTTTTCACCTCACATTGATTTCAACTTCATAACGAATAACTTCTTAGTTTACTAAATATTCGTAGGTAATTCGGAAATAGTTTTCATCTCATCTCAATACTAGTGAAATATTCATTTAAAGTTAGCGACCACTAAACGTTCATTTGTTGTAGTTTTATGACTATCCGTTAGTGGACATTCATGAATCCTGTTGGGATACTCTACGGTCTACAAGGTAAAAATGTATAAAAGATCGCATTCAAATGATGATTCTCAACAGTTTTTCTTTGTATAGTTATTTTTTTTCCTATTTAAATATTTTCTGAAAGATACAGCAACTAAATGTTTTAAAATACCTAAACTTTGCAGCTAACTTGCTATTGTAATGACTTATGTTCTACTCATCTTGAGTGGAGATTTAAACAAATCTGTTAGGGGGAAAAGATGTTACTCTACAAATTAATATCTTGCTACTCACTGAAAATGAATTTCGATGAGTGTTGCATTAGTAAGATTTATGTAATTAATTACATAAAGACAAATGATAGATTGGATAGTACACCGATTTTGACTAATGCTAGTTTGTTTACAACAGTAGTAGATAATTCTGGGTAAAATTCTCAACATTGCAGAATAACTGTCATTATTCTACGAAAATATGGAACTTTTTTTCCCTTAATACTCATTCTTTTACAAACCTCTAACAGAAGTCCTACATTCAATCAAATCGGTTATTTAGTGGATCATATATACAAAGCGAATGATGATTTCTTTTATAAAAACACTGAATTTCATTAGCTTACTCACTGCTTTCTTGAGCTATACCAATTTCCTAGCTGCTATAATTTTGTTCAGTACATAGTAAAAGTTTGTTCTTTAGATTATCGATTGTATAATACATCTGATTGAAAAGAGGTTAGTGGTCTGCATAATAGTACAGCATATGGTTCATTATGAACAGTTCACCACTGTGTTGAGAATTATTCACAACATGAATAAACATCTAGGGTTATTCTTAGTTTATATTTCAAAGATAGTAACTTAGATATTCACATAAAATGTAAAATTAGAAGTTACTGTGATATAATTTCTTACAGGTCAAAATAGCATGGGAAGATTTGACGTGCTACTTCCGGTTGATAGTGCAAATCTGTAACGTCTTACTGCCGGTACCTTCCATAGATCATTGTATAAAATGTCGGTTGAGTAAGATAAAAACACTGGAGTTCACCATCATTATATAACTACAAATTCATAACACAAACTAATGAGTTGCTAATTTGGAGGATTTCCAATCCATTGGATTATATCGATACCATGAATGGATTAGTGTTAGACAACCATTAGAAACCTGGAAGCACTATACGGCCGTCTCGTTCTAGTACGGGACTCCTCAGCAGTTCACACCCACTATCCCACACAGGGAACTCGAACCAGAGACCTCTGGATTCGCACGCAAACGCTTAACCTCTAGACCAGTGAGCCGGCATCCGACGGTGTTAACTTCACCGATCCACGATACTGCGCGACCGTCCAGCATTGTTTTCAGTGAGCAGCTGCCTCACAATTGAATGTACGTTTCCCACAACCAATCTAACGAATAGTGCAGTGAACGAGACCACAAGTAGGGACAATCAGATGTATTACAAAACTTCTTAGTAAACTCTGACAACCATACAGTGAACACTTCATTTGCAAAATGTTCATTAATGGTCTAAAACTTCATTGTTCCTGCATTTCCATACCAATTTCTTTCTGTTCCTGTTCTTTCCTACGTCATCCTCTCGACCTTCTGTTGACAGACATTCTATTCCTGACTAGTTATATACTACTTATGTCGATATATAGTAATATTCTCAAAATCACAGTCTACTAAGAAAGGACGCATCGATTACCATAAATTGTGATTCACGTGTGTAAGAAGTTCACTTAAACATTATTTTCGTCCCACACTAAATATCTGAGCCTTAATTTTTTGTAATCCTAAGATTTCCCATTCTTGGTTTCAAAGCTTGTAGAACTGGAAAAATATCCATGTATGTCATTTTCTGTTGTACCTACTGTATGTTTGCTCAATAAGCAGAGAATGAGGATATCAATGCATCCTCGACCAGAACGAAAACCGGCCTACTCCTCGAGAGCAGATAGAAGTAGTTGAGAAGTTCGTGTATCTGGGTAGCTGCATAAGTGCTGGTGGGGGTGTGAGTGATGAGATCAATGCACGAATAGTGAAAGCCAGAGCGGCTTATGACAATCTGGGCCACCTTTGGCGCCTTCGTGATGTTAGTCTGGCTGTAAAAGGCCGGATCTACAACGCGTCGGTGAGAGCAGTTTTGCTCTATGCTTGTGAAACCTGGCCTCTCCGAGTTGAGGACGTTAGACGACTCTCTGTGTTCGATCATCGCTGTCTCCGAAGGATTGCTGACATTCAGTGGCAACACCATGTCAGTAATGCAGAGGTTCGGCATCGTGTGTTCGGGCACAGAGATGATAATTCAATTGGTGTCACCATCTTGAAACACCGACTTCGGTGGCTTGGACATGTTCTCCGAATGTCGTCCCAGAGAATTCCACGTCGTGCAATATTTGCCGACTCTGGGACTGGTTGGAAGAAGCGGAGAGGTGGTCAGTGCATGACATGGTATCGTGGCATGAAAGAAAGCTGCAAAGGACTGGCTTGTGTTGGTCCTTCACGACTCCCTGGTTGGGGTCTGAGAGATGGTGCTACACAGTGGCTAGAGACGTTATCAGATATGGCTCAGAATAGAAGCCAGTGGCGATCCTGCTGTAACCTTCTTTTACTTTCTTCATAAAAAGTGGTTGTGTCTCCTTTACCTGAAAGATTTCTTCTGATTGTACCTTTTCGTTCCGTCGTTACTACCACACTACCTTACTCCAATCTCTTCGTCATTGTTCTCTTTTTCTTTTGCGCTCCTTAGTTTTTTTTTCTACTTCTCTTCGAATTCTCATTGTTTTGTGTGGCGCATATATATTGGCGCTCTCTTGTACCAATATTCATGTGTTCAAATAAATAATAAATAAAATTCTATTTTTATGGTACGATGTGGTCTGTTTGGTTGGTATATAAACAGAGTATGTTTGAAATATAACGATTCATAACTCAGAGGCTGTGACTTGCGTTCTAGATTCAGCTGGCTGGGCTAGACAGGGAAGCAGGACCAATCGGGACTCTAGGTCGTCACTAAGTGTTTTCCGTGTCACTGTAACCGATCGATAGAACGCTGCGCATCTAACCTGCAGTCCACCCGTTACAACAGGGACAACAGACCATTTGAACTCTTCCTCGAGAAACTCTACCCATCGTTCAGGACGTCGGTAAATGTTATTGATCGGCATCCCCTCAGCTTCACAGATTGTTTGACTCACACCCAAATTCTTGCTGCCAGTGACTCAGAGGAGTTGAAAGAGCTTGTGGCAATTACCAGATGCAGCTGTTGCTTCTATCTCTGGAGAGCTCCGACCACCAGGCTTCTCGGTCCTTCGCCCAGTTTCATTTCGTGACAATCTTCGTTTATCGTTAAACCCGCGGTTACTCGTAGTGGACAAATGAACTTCAATGAGTTGTAAGAAGCCTGTAGAAACCAAGTGCTTGTAAGCCATACGTTTCGCAAAGCCACAAGCGACACTACTCACCACTTCCATAGCGTCATACGATTGCAGCCGAGGCTCATCTATACTTTTCAGTGTGATACTAGCTATCCTTGAACCTAGCTAGTTTTTATATTTAGTTGCAACAGAAGCTTCAACCAGTTTACCGACATTTATCCGTTTAGGAAGATGAATTTGTCGACCACTGAAAAGTAAGGTAAGGCTAGCGCAAACAAGGCATGATCAGAGTCCGGATAGGTACTCGAAAAGGGGCGGAAGTATTGTATACGACCACGCTAGCTGTAGCTGATCGCAATGTGATCAATCTGAGTCCAGGCTT